ATATATATATATATATATATATACACGTATATTTATATACATACATGCATTTAATGTCAAACGTATAAGCCGTTTTTTAAAAAATTATGCATTTTGCCTATACACATATTTTTTTAAATAACTATGTATTTTTTTTATATTAATTAATTTATCTCGTTATTCTGTTCACGAAAGTATTAAGATACGATTATCAAAAAATTAATCCTTTATGCGATATTTAATTTTTATCTTAATGTGTGCACAGTTAAAATATACAATATCTCATAAATTTATTTATATCTCTAACTTAATACTTTTATATGCAGAATAATAAGAGGCATCATATTATATTAAAAAACTCATATAATTAATTTTATTTAAAAATGGAGGTGACCTTCATAAAATTTTTATAAGGCTTATACCTAGAAAAAAAGGATATAGTTCCGAATGAAATTCCCGCTCGTGAAATTTTGCAGACAAATTCTACTTAATGTGAAAAATAAAAAACACAGTTTCAACTTCGAAAAATGAAAAAAATTTTTTTTTATTTTACCACTTTTCATTTAGATAGATCAACTTCGTGTAGAAAATCATGCGTTCCTTGGCAGAGAGAAGGTAGGATGAGAGTCGCTTCGCGTGGAAATCATACACCCTTAAACAGAGGAAAGGGAGGGAGGGAGATGAGATGAAAGTTATGCGTTCCTAAACAGGGGGAGAGGTAGGGTGGAAGTCGCTTCGCGAGGAAATCGCGCGCCTCTAAGCAGAAGAGGAAATGGGATGGAAATCGTTTCGCGTGAAAAATCGTATTTCCTTAATCGGTCTAGATTTTAGTCAATAAATATTGTCGTATAACAAAAATTTATTTTTCATTTTTCGAAATTAAGACTATAAGTTTTTATTTCTTACATCAAAAACTTATATGTAAAATTTCAGATCAATCGCGAACAGGAGTCATTCGAAACTACGCCGGAGAAAAAAACAACGTGACTAAAATACGTCTCCCGAAATCATTCCACTTTCGTCTAAAATATTTTTTCATATCTTTCATATTTTCTGAGGTACAATATTTGACCCATTACATTTCAAATAAAACATTCTGTACATAAATGGATATATGATAATTATAAAATTATTTGTAATTATAACATACACATATTATTATACATCAAAGAATATCAAAAAGCTATCATGAACCAGCGCTACATGCTAAATGCGGAATAATATATAGTCGTCATA